TCCAGCTCAAACTGCATATATCAAAGGGAGATACATCGGAGAGAATACAAGACTTGTTTATGACGTGATTGATAGCGTGGTCAATAACAAAGATTCCGGTTTAATAATGTCAGCAGATTTCGAGGCAGCCTTCGATTCCCTATCATGGGAATATTTGTCAAAGGTTTTAGGGCAATACAATTTCGGACCTTACTTGCAGAAGATCATTAAAACGTTGTATCTTAACCCGGAAAACTTTTCTAGAGTAATATTAAATGGTCATCTTGGAGATAAGATACATCTAAAATGCGGGATACGACAAGGTGACCCGGTTTCCGGATACCTCTTTAATCTTGCTGTTAACCCGCTTGCAAATCAAATAAAATCTTCCAACAAATTTACAGGTATCAAACTTACAAACAGCATCGAAGTTCGTATATCTCAATATGCCGACGATACTTTACTTTTCCTAAAAAACTCCGTTGATTGCTTGCAGGGTGCATTGCGGGAATTGAAAGATTTCTCGAATATATCCGGCCTAAAGCTAAATGTAGAAAAAACGTCATGTCTTTCCATTGGCGAACCTAAACGGCAGAATATGGAGGATCACGGCGTCAACTGGGTAGACCGTATGAAGGTGCTAGGTGTAACATTCATAAACAATAACAAAAACATTACTCAAATAAATCTAGAACCAAAAGTAGCAAACATTGAGAGGGAAATAGCTCAATGGAAAAGGAGATATCTAACCCCAATAGGAAAAATAACTGTTATTAAATCACTATTGATATCTAAGATAGTGCATCTATTAATAGCTTTACCAAATCCCACCCAACAAGAACTAAAAAAGATTGAACGTCTATTTTTCTCGTTTCTTTGGGGTGGCCAACGGGATCCCATCAAAAGAGCTAAAACAATACAAGACTACGAAAGTGGAGGACTACGGATGCTAGATATCAATGCCTTTGCAAACAGTATGAAACTGACGTGGCTAAAAAGATTAAACACTTCAAATGCTCCGTGGACACAAATGTTAGAATGTAGCTTACCAAACGCCAGAGATATTCCACTATACGGTGCTAAAAAACTAACAAAAGTAGCGAATAGAATACAAAATCCATTCTGGAAGGACGTACTTCAGACATTTATCACTTATAACTCTCTTTCCAAGCCAGACACGCCTTCATTACTAACCGAAAGTCTTTGGTACTCAGACTACGCAAAATTTAAAGGCTCCATCATCAAGGACTGGGATCGTAAAGGAATTCGATTTATCGTAGACCTTTTTGACGAGGAGAATAGAAAGTGGTACACAAAGGATATGCTAGAGAACAGATACAACATAAAAATGACATTTCTTTGCTACTCAAGTTTAATAAGAAGCTTACCAAACATACCAAGCTACGAACTACCTGTCAGTATCGAACGTCCCGTAATACCCTCCAAAATGAATCTGATATTAAATCATCCGAATTTCCCTCGCTTAGCATATCACACGTACGTAAAAAGCAGAAAACGCGAAATAACCCATAATCGTGCCAGGGATAAGTGGATGCGTGATGTAGGATACTTTGCTCAACAGAGTTTCATTAAGCTTTCAAAAGTAACACAATCGACTCGATTAAAAATGTTCCATTACAAGCTCATCAACCGTATTATCACAACAAATAGATACTTAAAGATAATATCCATTAAAGATGACGATTCTTGCACATTCTGCAAGCAGGAATGTGAAACAATATTACATATGTACTGGGCATGTCCAATAGTACAATCATATATAACATCTATAAAAATAGCATTTGGGAGATCATTAGCGATCAATCTAGAAAGCCCGAAATCGTGGTTTTTCTTTGAACATTTAGACGACATAGAAATAGTTATAGTAGCATTAGCGAACATAGTTATTTATGAAGCTAGATACAATGAAATAGTTCCTAACATAGTATCTCTCAAAAATAAACTTAAAAGGGAAGCCGAAGCCGAGTTATGCATGGCTAGGCAGACTAAGCAGTCGAATCTCTTACACACATTCGAAAAGAAATGGGACAAAGTCAAACAAGTGTGCGACATTCAGCCGGAAACTACATTAAACCAGAGAACGACTTAGAGAACTTACTTACAGTCATTCAAAAACTTAAAATCATCAATCCAAAACTCATTCATGTATCAATCCACACATCGTCACAACATTCACAAAAGCAGCGCATTGCTGTACATGGTATGCTTCTGAGTTTAGTGCGTGTGATCCTTAGCTTCCTATCCTATCATCCCCAGAATCCAGTCCTCTATCTTTCAGCGTTCCCCAAGATGATGCTGGCGGCGGGCTGGCTGCGGGGGCGTGCGCCGGCTGGCCCACGCGCCGGTCTGGAGACGGCCATTAACTAGTCCGATATTGAGGGGTGAGCGCGGCGCCCGCCCGGCTGTCGCTGCCGCTGCCGCTGGCGCTGGCGGGTGATCGGCCGCTGCAGCTGCCGCCGCTGCCGCCGGGGACCCGCCTGTTCGGTCCTTCCGCTTTACCTCTACTTTCAAACGCTCTTTTTTGTCATTATGTTCCATTCACTGCTATTTCGTTTTCATTGTGAGCTGCTCTTGTTTTTGCGTTCCGCGTATTTCGTGTTGTTGCGGTCACGTGTAAAACAAATAAGAAAAAGATATGACTGGAATCATGGCGCAAAAAAAAAGTTTCTGGTCAGCATCAGCGAGTGTTCGCGTCACTGACCTTCCCGAACCGGGCACGGGTCTTCGAGGAAGGCACCGATTGTGGGACAGTATGAGAGGTCTACTATACCTTCTACCTGTATTGGCAATGAGAGCCATTGGTTATCTGTCCGTGACATGTGAATTGTGATCATCACACTGATGAACTGTTGAATAAACACGGTCAATTTGAAAAAAAAAAAAAAGATCGAACGCTACCATAGGTACTGCAATAGCTGGCGAATCGACTCCACTGGGTCTAACGCAGCCCCCCTCGGTCCCGACCAGCGCGGCGGTGATAATGTTCAAGATGGTTTGTGTTCAACCACAACAACGACGTTTTTATGGTCAATGTCATTTATTAGTGTTGTGTATGTGTCGAGATGCAGTTTTTGAACATACTGACTGCACGAGTTTGTGTTTATATGCCATTACACCTAATCACATGTAAACAGTAGACACATTTTAACAGGTCCGCAATTCGGTTTATTTGACAAAGACATCGGTTTCAGAGGGGCGTAAAGTAGGAACGGTTATGCATTATACAAGCTGTTCAACAGACATTGTATTCATGAACAAGTCTGGTATTTAGTTGAGCATTGCAATACACATCTGGAAACAAGAACAACTGAGCACAACAAAAAACAAGCGTAACCCTGGACAGTTTGTGTGCTGAGCGTTGGAGTTAGGTCACTTGTTGGGAATCAGGAGTCTGAAGCATTAGGAGAAAGCTTAGGCAAAAAAAAAATTGTAGGCCAGGTCAAATGTTTTGAATTATGTTTAGGCTAGAGCGTTTGATGCATAGACGGGTTATGGTATATTAGAAGTAGATGTAAGCAAAGAGATGGCTCCATGAGTTCTTAAAAATAGCAGTGTCATTGGTAAGTGCTGCGTAGACATGGACTAAACAAGACAAAAAGGCACCACAAAAGGATGAATTCGCAAAGACTACAGGCATGGCAAGCGTCGGTTTCCTTCGAATAGGCAGCGCAACACACGTTACAAATCAACTAATTTAGTAGTGTCAGTATTCACAAGAAACTTGAGTTACATTTGCAATTATGTTCCCGCATGAAAAAGCTGTATACATTTTAGCGAAGTAGAGAGAATGCAATCGTGGCAGCGAGAGATACATTTAACCCGCGCCCAGATGGGGTCTGCCGAGCAACGCGGTCTGATGGGGGGGGGGGCCATTTTGGCCCCCCCCCCTCAGATCTCGAGAACCACGCAACATAGCGACAAGCGGTAAACGGTGTTGGATAGTCCCAGCGGGGAACTACCTTGTGACCCAATTTCATTGACCTCGGTCAAACCGATGACGTCACAGGTCAGGTCAAAGGTCGAATTTTCACCGTTTACAGGCATTTCAAGAAATGCGTTGTAAAATCGAGTAAAATGCATTTCATTGAAAATCATCGATGGAGAAATGTTCTTCAAACACATATTTTGCTATTTGAGGTCACTGATACCAGGTCAGGTCACAGAGGTCAGGTCACTGAGGGGGTCACAATATGAAAGTGTCGTGTGATACATGTTTTATGGTCCATTTTACATGACAAATGCGATTATGTGGGTCAGACAGACTTTAGGGCCAGCTTAGGTCACGTTTTGGTCAAGGTCAGGTCAAGGTCAGGTCAAGGTCAGGTCAAATTAGGTCAAATTTCAAAGTTGATATTTTTGCATAAAATGGGTATCGATTCGATGCAGCTCGTCACGGGGAGTTCAATGGTGGTCTCCGTTTTGCGCTACGAGGTCTAGAATTGCTAAAAATTGAGTTCAAAAATTTGACGTCATCAATTTTTAACAGTTTTTTCGCTATAACTTGGCCAAAAAAAGAGGTATCGATCTAAAATTTGGTATGTATATCGAAGAGCGCAGGGACTATCACATATATTCCGGTTTTTTCGAAATTCGAAAATTTTTTGGAAATTTTTTGAGTTTTTCTAAAAAAATCAATTTTTTTGATTTTGGGGGGTCAAAATCCCAAAATTTCGAAAATCCGAGATAGCAGTTTTGTAGCGCCGTCTTTTCTCTACACAACCACATAAAGAACTTTAAAATTGCTTGTTAACTGTAGAATTGGTGAGCGTTTCAAGATGTCATGTTTTTTGCACATTTTTGCTCGAACATGACCTCAGTTTGACCTCAATAACTCCTGACCTGAGGTGACCTGTGACTTGAAATTTTGTGTGAAGGTGTCAAATTGATGCCCGGTAAGGTACCCAAAATTTGGCGGCGCTGCGCGCCGCCGTTTTCTCGCTATTTAAGAAAAACCACAGGGGGGGCCAAAATGGCCCCCCCCATCAGGGCGCGGGTTAATAAATATGAAGCACAAGCTAAAGGGCAAAAGTGTTAGTAAGCACTGACATTGTTACAATGCGGGAATACGTTTGCTTTCTTAAATATAAGAATCCAAGACTTTTGATCAAACTTTGAATTTCACGTTTAAAAAACAAGTTGTCGGTTTCAGGTACTTCAAACAAAATGAGTGGAGGAACTTTCTGATAAGCATAATCTAGATAGGAAACAGTTGAAAAGAAATGTTTTAAAACCTGTTAATGTGTGTAAAGCAGTTTGGTCAATTATCTCGTAAAAAAGAAATCTATAATAGTAGGAGTCATTTTTGATTAATATCAATTGCAATGTAGCATTATATCTGTAAATTGAGCTATTCAACGCATCAAATGATGACAAAATGTAGCAGGTTGCAACTATGTATATCTTGTGCCTTGCACAGAATAGGACATATTTTAGAAACACACATTTATAAAATGTGGACAGCCAGGTTTTTGTGTGAATCATTTTCAGTTGCAGATAGCGAGAACAGCTAAATGAGGTAGTGGCAAATGATTGTTGGTATGAAGCTAGCAGGAAATACGCACACACAGGGGCGGGACGAATATACAGCTATAACGATTGTCGCAATGTTCCTCTGAGTACCTTAATCACAACACAACATCAACAAAGACTGGGCAGCCGCATAACAAAAACCAACAGTAACAACAGTCTAAACCCAGCAGTAAGTCAACAGTAACGGCGCAAAATATCAACTTCCGCATACCTTCAACCACTTATCAATTGTTGATTTCCGGTCACTTACAACTTCTATTTCACAACGCGATCACTCTTGGGACCACGAATCCTCAAAGTCCTTCTGGAGCTGGCTCATCCAGACTGAGTGGTCCACCTCCCACTCGTCCGTGTCCAGGCCACGGCCCGAGTTATTGTAGACTGATGCGTAGAAGGAGACGCCAATCACAGCCGCGCCGACCAGGAGGGCGGCGCCCACCAAAGGAAGAGCGCTGCTTGCTGTTGGAGAGAAGGCCAGAGTGTCAGAAGTGTGGTCAGGTCACGCAGATCGCCACACGTAGAGTTGTATCAGATACTGAGATAGCTACTGCTGAGTAGTTTGAATTAATTATTCAATAATGATCTTGGTTGATCGTATACAGTTAATTAGGGTTGATAACTGCAACGCTGAAAGACTATGGCGTTATTGCCTTTATCAAATGAAAAAATGCATTTACTTGTCTTCGCCAACACAAGAAATGTTCTGGAGATTGAAAAGTTGCAGTACTTGAATGAGGGCTACTGTTGTACAGAAACACACCAGTCAGCACCCATACATACCTCCGCTCAAGTCCTGGCGCCGGATCGGATTAAACAGTCGCTGGATGAGTCTGAAGCGAAAATAGACAAGCCACGCGTCATTTGCTTGAAACACACCACAGTTGGCTAGCTCTTTGAATAAGTTTCCGACTGTATAGCAATAAACCGGATTTAAAATTTCCTTCGTTCAAACTGCAAACTTACTTATAAAGCAATGCTTTCTCCTTATTTCTAAAAACGTTTGTCCTTCTCTGAGTAGTCCAAACTAAGTGATAAATGATTGTAAACTCTTGCTCTGTTACACTGTCCCGGTGTTTTTCTCACCCGATGACTCCTTTGCTGCTCCGCCTGGCAGGTCGGTGGTCGTAATAGTTTGAGCTGGCCTGGTTGGCATGGTCAGTGTAGGTCTGGAAGTTCTGATAGGAGGTGTCGGCACACGCCGCAGCGGCCAGGGACAGCACGAGAACGGCAGTCAGCTTCATCGTGTCTGTAAAAAAAAGAGAATGACCTTATAGGTAAACACGATAGGTTATTATTCAGAGACTTACCGCATCTATACAATACGTAAATATTGAAACAGCGATATTTCAATTCAGTTATATCAGAATCTGAGGTATATCAAATCGGATAGTTGGCTAGTGAGTTCAGGTCCTATATCAGTAGATGTGACAGGTTTCCCGGAGATCATTGTTTTCAGGTGATCATCCTCGCCTCGCTAGCTCATACGATTGGGCATTATTGGCAAAAGAGCGTTACCGAAAAATCAAATTGAGCTTCAAGCCACGCAAGTCCAAAATAAAAAAGGTGAACATGGGATCGTGTAAAGGATATGCCGAAACCAGTAATTCTAAACTTGAGATAGGATTGCATGTAGTGATGTCGAAGTCGCTAAGAGGCCCATCTGCCTTCAAGTGACTGATGAAATTCCAAAACACACAATATGTGGAGATTCTAGAGCCTTATGCTTCCTCAAAGCTCCGTCATTTTGAAACTGCTTCCTGGCAATAAAAGCACTTCTAAATTGGGACCCTGTTCATGTTCATGCTCAGTGCTCACTTGTGCTGCCAAGTGCTAGCATCCATGCCCTGCCCTGAGACTATCGCTGGTTCAAAACAAAATTTTGCGCGAATCAAAAATCAGTTATACTAAATCTTAGCTCTTCGAATAAGTTATGTGCAATCGCGAAAAAAAAACGTCAGGAACACCACCCTTTTGGCGGGAGGGGGGGATAAAGCCAGAATTGCAGCAGAGTCAACTGCGTTGATATGGTCCTCCCAGACCCTATGTCTGCCTTACGGCTATCCCTGAGCATCTATTCTAAAATCGTTTCGCTGATTTATTTACGATAGCACTTGCCGGTATAAAGTGTATGGCAAATTTACCCAATGTATTGACAAAATTTTCCTGAAACTGTAAGCTATAGTGGAGAATTTGCAGCGAAAATAATCGTCGCTGACTCACCGGGCAACTATTGATTACATGTACAGTTCTCACGAAAACAGTTCACGAAAATTGAATGCATAAACAACAATGCTTTATAGCTAAATTCAAAAACTTATAAGTGATTACAAATTTTATTCACAGGTAGAACTGTGCAACATTTTGTACATATGATAAATAATTGTGGTTGTTATTTGCTATTGGCTTGGCTTTACCCATGGCTTTACTCTCATTGCCATGAGAGTAAGAGTACAACTTTTCAGTTTGCCCTGTCATCGCATCTACTCACGCTTGGAGCTGATCGTGGCACTTCTCGTTCCAAACACTCCGGTCAAGTCATCGTGCGCTACCACCACCAACACTGCACAAAGCTCAACTCTGTCACAAAATAAAACACCGCCACACCACCAGTTACCTGTTTCAAGAGATATCCTGTGTGATGATGAAGCTCCTGAAACCGTCCTTGACTCGTCCTCAAACCACTCTCGCCCTCACCCCACTGTTCACCCCCCGAGTTCGAGCCGAGACTGAAGGGATCTCACCAGCACCGCCTATAGTTATATGCACTGCAGCGGTTTCTTTCGCGGACATCCAGCAATTGGCTCGAGTAATTGCCTCGGCACTGGCCTCCGGTAAAAGTGAAGGCGAGTGTGGCATGGACAAATCTCACGCTGGGGCTTTAGTGGGTCGTCAGCGGGTACACAGACAGACAGACATACACACTGACATGAGTACAGACACACCGACTGCATCGCTCTCGGCGAGGGCTGACTAGAAACCGGGCCCATTCGTCATTATTGACACTGAGCGGAGGCCTTGCAATGCCCTCGTACGAGCGTTAGGTACTTTCTGGGAGTGGCAGTAGCCTAAGTCAGTTGATGAGGGGGAGTGCCACCGCAGAAACGCCTTAAACACACCGCTCAGAGACAGAGTGAGTAAGAGTTGTAATTGTGGTAGCATGAACGCTTGTAATCGTGTGTGAACACATTAGCAAAAAAGCTATGTTTTAACTGACGTCTATAGTTGACAAATGACAAGCTTCAGAAACAAATCACCATACTCAGGACTGCAGTCCGTTAGCGTACTTAACACCAATTTAGAACGTGTCTCAAGCGATGTTTGCGTAACATATGCCAATTGAAAGATTTCTTTGTAGATGTCAGCTCTCAGGTGACAAGTATAATGAACATTGAATTATTCAAAAGCGGCTTTCGATATAGAAACATTTACCACCAATTTATCAACATTCAATCACCATCGATCTTCAAATTTATCCAAGTTCATTCTTCATGGCAATATTGCAAACCAGGTACGTTTTTCACATTAATTAATTCAGTTTTCATCCATTTCCAAACGCCTGAAAAAAAAAATCATCAAAATATGTCTCGCTACACTATAGACGCTTTTCAACGACAGCGAAAATATGTCCGTCGCCATATTGCAGTGTCTTTTCCTGCGGCAGGTACTTCATAAATGAAAGCAAGGAAGCTTCTCACGGGTATGTGGGAGGACTGCTACTTTCATTGGCGCTGGCACAGCGGCATTGCGTCTCCAGGCACTGTGGCAATAGTTATGGTGGGAGCGTATTTACTGCCTAAATGCAGCAGCGAGATAGTTGTGCTGATTGGGGGCTATGCATTACTGGGCAGCGTTGGTTTCTAATCATTTATTCATCAAGCATTGACGCATGAAACTAATTCTTATAAAAAGTGCGAGGTAAAAATTGCTTAGTCGATTTCCGTTTTGCGATATTTTCACATAGACCCGCTAGTTTATGCTTTTTGAACCCGAAGCATGTCTAAACTGAACATTTCTTCACATAATCCTTTAGAATGGGCTTCTTTGAGGGGAACTGGAGCGGTTGCATTTCGGTACAGTGGGAAATGGAAGAGGTCTTATTGGGGATTGGATCATACATTGATTGTTGGTAAAGGCCATGGTTGCAGCGAACGTCTGGCATAGGTGCTTGGTAGGCTCATGAGTTTAAAATTAACCCGCGCATGACTGGGGACTGGGGAGCCCCTTCCGGTTTTTTTTGCAATACCTTCTAAGCCGCTGAATGTATCAACACGAAATAAGCAGTATCCTCGGCTGCACGAATTTGGTACCTTGTGTCTAAAGGAAAATTTCGTAGCTGGAAATGACGTCAGAGTGCATGTCGGCCGATTTTGATGCAAAACTGAACTACGGAAATCGCTCGAAAGTCGAAAGAGCTTACATAGACCCGATTTCTTTACATGAGACGACTCAGATACAAAGGGCAGATCTAAGTGTTATCTCGGATTTTAGCCCGCGCCATGCTGGGGGTGCTTTTACGCCCTGTTCGTGCATCAGTTCCGCACATGTGAAAATTTCAGACCCGGGTCGTTCAAGATCAGGTCACCAGGTCACGTCAAGTGACCTCAGGAAAAGTGCAAAGGCTCGCTATAGCTACACCGACTGAACAATCACTTTGAAACTTTCAGCGATTGATATGAGTAACAGTATGTATAAATGGTAATCTCGAATTTTTGTATATCTGAGAGCTAAGGTCAAGCCAATTTTGCGACCTCTCCATTATAAGTCAATGGGAGAAAATTGAAATGCGCCTCTTTTGGACGAATGTCGTTCAAAACGCTCTCAGACACCGGTTCGTAGGTAAACATGTCATACTGAATCGGAAAAAAAATGCACTTTTGACCCATCTGTGTGCCCCTGAGGTCATCTCAGGTCATGAACGGTCACCAGCAGCTTTTTAGCTATAACTTTTTATAGAGACGAGTAAGAGCTGTGAAAACACGTCAAATGTTTTCAACTCGGCGATACGGATCGACTGATATGCAACATGACCTTGACCTGAGATTAAATTTTGAAAATGACCTTTCAATGTCAAAAAATAGTTCAATCGACGCGTCTCGACAAGAGGAACGCGATGCTGCCAAAAGTAATGTTGTGTCTTTTAACCCTCGCCCGCACATGCCATTTTCCCATCCTAGAACGCACATGGGGGGGGGGTAGTTGCAACCCCCCCGCGCCATTTCGTTCCTGTTGGAGATAGAGCTTAGCGGTAAAGACCAAAAATATTCTTTGCGAAGAGACGAATCTAATGATACCCAGTTTTACCTTCTCAGTTCAGTCATTGACCTTCCAGGTCAGGTCAAACTAAAAAATGTTGCTGTTTTGGGTCACCGTTGGATATCAAGTGCGCTGCTTATCAAATACCGATGACGATGCCGTTTTCTGGTGCCAAGCCAGCTAGAACCTCTTTGTCACACTACCCGACCAGAATTTTGCTGCTGAGGTCATTTCAGGTCAAGTTAGGTCAAGGTCAATTATATGTGGTTGTATGTCTGTGTGTGTCTGTGTGTATACTGATGTGTGCACCGATTGTTTTTGGTTCCATATTACATGAAATCATGATCTGAGAAGCTTTTACCAAAAAATGCAGTCAAAAAACTTCACAAAAAGTAAATTCGGCTTGCCTAAAACGCAATTATGTTAGATGACCTAGGTTGACCTTGACCCTGACCTTGACCCCTGTACATCGTCGAAAAACATGTTCCATGATAGGTGGGAGGTAAGACTGGCAAAAAAGGCCGAAATCAGGGTGTCAAAAGCTCACAAGGCCCATGGCAAACGCAAGATGTTGAGAATTGGCCATTTGGGTCATGACATGACATGAAAAACAAGGTCATATCTCCGAAACCAAAAATCACAGAAACTTGAAATTTTCAGTGGACATCAAGAAAGGATAGAGGAGCAGCTATACGAAAAATCAGCCTTCTAGCTCCAAAAATGTTGAGTGCAGAGCAGAAAGTCTACCTGGGGGGGTGGCAACCGTCCCCCCCCCCCACCCATGTGCGGGCGAGGATTAATTAACCCTCGCCCTGGCAGGGCATTTTTCATAACACGGCCTGGCAGGGGGGGGTCGATGCGACCCCCCCCCCCCCTCGCGATTGGCTCCTATGGCACCTAGAAACACCAAATTTGGTAGGTAGGTGGGCCCCTGGAGTTCTCGCCCCTGTGCAAATTTGGTTGCTCTAGGTCAATATTTAGGGGGGTTTTGGGGGGTATAAATATAAAATTTTTGCTAAAAACAGGTCAAAAGTTTTTCGCTTATAACTTTTGATCTAATTAAGATAGAGCAAAAAGAAAAGCACCATTGAACTGAGCACTTCAAGGCGCGTCGAATGATATACCTTTTAGCTTGCTTAAATGTACTTAAAGTTTTTCTTAAATTTTAAGTAAACTTAAATTAATAAATTAAGTTCAAGTTAACTACATTGCATCATATCGCATATCATTCGATTCGGCTGATCACCAGGAACACAATGATACCATTTTTTAAGCTTTAGCGTCATTATGTGCCGAGTTATTAGCAAAAACGTCATTTGACCTCAGTTGACCTCATTTGACCTGACCCATGGATAATTACACCATACAAAGAAGCACCAAGTGACCTGCTGTTAAGTACTGTGGTTTCAAAGCACAAAAGTGATAGAGCAAAGCGGATATCTCCAGTATTTTCCGAATTTAGTATTTTCCCATAGGCTTAATATTACGACGTAATGACCTCTAACTGACCTCAGGTCAGTGACCTCAAAAAGCCCGAACTATATGTTATACAACTCGGTGAACTTAGCACATCCTGAAAGTTTGAAGGAAATCAGTCCAAAACTGTGAGTTGGACGGGTGCAAAAAGAAAATTGAAATTTGACCATGACTTTGTACCGGTTTTTCTGACCTGGTGACCTGACCCAATGTCACCCGGACCTGAAATTTACAGGTCATGTGTAAAAAGGTTGCCTCATAAGCTGTGCCAAATTTGGCGGCGCTGCGCGCCGCCGTTTTTACGCTATCTTCGAAAAACCTTAAGGGGGTGTCGCATCGACCCCCCCCCCCCTGCCAGGGCGAGGGTTAAGTTAAAAGTTATTGCCGAAAAATATTTTTTTCGTGAAAACGGCTATTTTTGCATGTTCTGCCCTCTGGAGGCTAAACCGTTGACCTTAGGTCAAATTTGAGAGCAATATTCAAAAAGGTCTGTCAATGGGCTATCGGATGCGCTTTTCCGCGGCGCTGTAGCTCTATTGGTAGCTCTATTGGTTTCCGAGTTCGCCGTTGGGAGTTTCCAAAATTATTAAAATGGACTAAATTTGACCTTTGGTGGCCTCTGTTGACCTGACATTTGACCTGACCTTAAAAATGACTCGGGTCTTCCCATCATTATTTTTGACGCTCTTTTGACTGCCACTTACCGCGTGTCGCTACGTGGCCCAGGAGCCGAATTAGAGGGGGCATGGACCCCCCCGCCCTCCAGCACGACAAGGAAAGCACAGGCCACCAGCACGGCGTGGGTTAAAGAGTTTGCAAATTTTGAGAGTGTAACATACAACTTCTTTAATCATTTTCCTATTTTTTTCGTTTTTAGAAAAAAAAACGGAATATATGTGATTAAACACATACCTACCGATGATCTACTCCAGGAAGTTTTAGGCAAACGTATTCAAAAATAGCTCAGTTATACGCTTTGTAGTTCATATTTCACCATTTTTTTTTACATCATACTTTCAGTACGTTTTTTGATAATGTAGAGCAAATGAATAGCTCCATCGTGTTCCTGAGCTCAAACTGCATCTGACAGATGCCTTATTTGTTGAAAAATGTCAATTTAGAAAAATGTGATCCCTTGTAACTGAAAGTGATCTGACCTTAGGCTATATTCAACTGAAAATTACATAAAATGATGCAGACGACACCGTGTTAGAAATATATCGCTGAAATGGGCCGTAAAACATGTGTCACGTGACCGATACATGTTAAAAAAAATCCGTGACCTATGATGACCTGGCCTTGACCTGAAAAGTTTTAACTACAAGTTTGGCACTCTCAGGATATAAGGCGTATATCAAGGAGTGAGTAAACCAAAAATGAGCCTGATCGGACTTGTCGGCGGCCAGAGGCTAAATTGCGAACAAGCAAAAATGCCGATAATTTTTACTTTGACCTGCCCTGTGATGTCATCAGACACCGTTTGAATTTTGAAGATCAGCCCAGTAGTTTTGGAGATAGGAGCGGGGGGAGGGCTTTGTAGGGCTCAGTCAGCCGCGTGAAAATACCCGGCCGAGTCATGGGTGGGTTAAAATTAAACATATAATATATACTTCAACGGAGAGAGGAGTTGGACATCAGGACAGAGAGACAGCGAGAGGGGTTAGAGAGAGAGAGAGAGGGGGGGCAGTGACGCACAGCGCACACCGGGGGAATGCGCCACCGATGCGTGAAGTCAGGAAGTGGTCGTTCCGTCCTTGGCCGCGTGAGGCGCTGGCGAAGGATTCGGTATGCAAATTTCAACCGTCAACAGGGTCTTAGCTGATTGAACAAGGTGGTATGTATTACTGAAATATTGAAAAATGATAGTTTTACCTTTTTCTTTCTTGTAGTCATTTGCTGAATGTGCAGTTGTTTGCTTCGTTAGTTGCAGTTTCTTTTTTTCCTAGCTGTGAATTATCCTATAGGTTTTGAGCAGTAACGCTCGCCGCGCTAAGCCATTTTCTGTCGTTATTTCGTTCGTTATAGAGACTAAAACGACACATTTGTACTAACCCTGAGAGTAATTTGACCAAAACCGAGAGCTTACAATTTGTGGACTGTCATAGTTAGTCAGTCTTTCTCACAAATGGAAACGTCTTTTAGGCATCTTTTCTTCCTGAGATCGTATTAAAAAAAAAATTAGCATGTAGATTTAAGCGCTTATACATTGTCCGTTTAGGACGGCTAGAACTAGCCAAGCTTATCTATTTCAACGACATATGAGTACATATACCTACCATCACATCTCCCCATTTCTGTCATGTACATACTCGTGAGTCGTGAGTCGTAGTGACGTCTGATCCCTCACAATAGTGGCACATTACACCTATGATAACCTTATCGTTCTTATTGACAATGCATGTCTCGCCAGTCACCGTGAGGGCATCAGGTTCATGGCCCATGGTGAGGGTGATTTGATGCTCCATGGCACTTTGGGCAGAATTTGAGGGTTGAGGGCCTTGAGGAGGAGGAAGAACGGAGGTTGGAACCGTATTGGTGGTCTGAAGTTCGACTTCGCATTTTGCAATGAATGCCAAGCAATCGTATTCAACTTCTTAGAAGCGTTATATTGCACTCCGTGCATTAGTTCACTACACAGCCATTTTATGTATGTGCCTTATGCTCTGCAAAACAGCTTCATTTCTACCTACCTTTTTTCAATATCCTTTTCCAAAACCTTAACCCTCGCCCTGGCAGGGGGGGGGTCGATGCGACCCCCCCCCCTAAGGTTTTTCAAAGATAGCGTAAAAACGGCGGCGCGCAGCGCCGCCAAATTTGGCACAGCCTATGGGGCAACCTTTTTACATATGACCTGAAAATTTCAGGTCCGGGTGACCTTGGGTCAGGTCACCAGGTCAAAAACCGGTACAAGGTCATGGTCAAATTTCAATTTTCTTTTTGCACCTCTGCAACTCACAGTTTTCGACTGATTTCCTTCAAACTTTCAGGATGTGCTAAGTTCACCGAGTTATATAACATATAGTCCGGCTTTTTGGAGGTCACTGACCTGAGGTCAGTTAGAGGTCATTACGTCGTAATGTTAAGCCTATGGGAAAATACTAAATTCGGAAAATACTGGAGATATCCGCTTCGTTCTATCACTTTTGTGCTTTGAAACCACGGTAATTAACAGCAGGTCACTTGGTGCTTCTTTGTTTGGTGTACTTATCCATGGGTCAGGTCAAATGAGGTCAACTGAGGTCAAATGACGTTTTTGCCAATAACTTGGCACATAATGATGCTAGAGCTTAAAAAAATGGTACCATTAAGTTCAGGGGCGAATCCAGAAAATCTCCAAGGGAGGGGCCATTAGAAACCAGGAGGCCCCCCCCCCCATAATCCCACCTGTTGGAGGCCCCATCTTCCCACTTGTTGGGCCCCCCCCCCCCCAAAAAAAAACTGCGTCTATTGAGCTTATCTAGCTGTTCAGGCAACATCTCAACATCTGTGCAGGCTTGGAGGCCCTCTGTGCATGTTAGGAGGCCCTGTAAAAGTGGTCATCTCTGTGAGTATAAGAGACCTCCAAGTTATGAAAAGCTTTACCAATCTTCTAACAAAGAAGTCTTCTCAGCTAGTTTTCTAAGAAATAACTAAGTGGGTAGGTTAAAAAAACTCATCGGATTTCGGCCACTTTATTTTCAGGAGGCCCCCTTTTCAGCTTTTTAACTTTTTAACTTTTTATTTTATTTTTGAAAAAAAAATCGGCCAAGGGGGGCCATGGCCCCCATGCCCCCCCCCCCTTGTATCCGCGCCTGATTGTGTTCCTGGTGATCAGCCGAATCGAATGATATGCGATATGATGCAATTTGGTTAACTTGAACTTAATTTATTAATTTAAGTTTACTTAAAATTTAAGAAAAACTTTAAGTACACTTAAGCAAGCTAAAAAGTATATCATTTGATGCGCCTTGACGTGCTGAGTTCACTGGTGCTTTTCTTTTTTCTCTATCTCAATTAGATCAAAAGTTATAAGCGAAAAACTTTCGACCTGTTTTTAGCGAAATTTTTACATTTATACCCCCCAAAACCCCCCTAAATATTGACCTAGAGCAACCAAATTTTCACAGGGGCGAGAACTCCAGGGGGCCCACCTACCTACCAAATTTGGTGTTTCTAGGTGCCATAGGAGCCAATCGCGAGGGGGGGGGTCGCATCGACCCCCCCCCTGCCAGGCCGTGTTATGAAAAATGCCCTGCCAGGGCGAGGGTTAAACAATAACGTGACATCTTAGGAATTTCAGGTGCTTAATGCCCACATGTGATGAAAAATGCGCCCACCGCCATGTGATGTCTGTAGCTATGCTACGCTCAGTAAACACAGACGGTCATGAATGTCCCTACATACAGCGTGACACAGTGTTACAAGGCCGTCGTCACGATGCAGCATTCCCGTCACGCTACGATGGCCCGAGTGACGAGTCAGCTTCGTGACGGTAAGCGAACGACTGGAAGTGGAGTGACCCAGCTGGATCGAGTGTTGCACCTTATCCAGTTAGTGATATTTTCGCCGTAGGGAATATAATGAAAAGTTGGCGAAAACGCACAGTAATAAATTCTAGAAGACAATTGCAGTGACTTTGCGTTTTTTTCAGCTCAATGCTACATTTTATCACTGCAATATCAGTGTGACTTGGCAAAACCAGTGTGCCGTTCTGAAGGCTCTTTCTGTACCTGTCTAAAATGTTTTTTTTTAACGGTTAGCTTGATAGTTTGCAACTATTTTTAAAACCTATTTTCACTTGACCAATCCAACTGCACTATGCAAACTAGTATCCGAATATAATTTGGAAGCTTGGAATTATTTGCACTAAATTTATCATGTCTTTGAATTTGCAACTTGACTATCTTGATGTCATCTAGTTCGTCTTCGTTTTTACGAGGCTGCTTAAAAACAGGTGTATAGCAGTCTGTGTTGTATTCCTGCACACTGCATTAGTGAAGAACAGTTCCACGAGACGCACACAAGTTTCGATATTGGCAAGACCCGTCAATTGAACCATCCCAGAAATGTACACCTTGCTGTCTATATAAGAAACATGCAACAAATAACAATACAAAACAATAATGAGCACTTTAAAACAAACATCAGTTAAACGGTGGTTTGTAACACAGCAGATCACAACAGTCAAGTGTACCAGCGTGAACAGTTAGGCACACACATGATTTATGGAAAGAGCAAAAGGGTGAATGAGTCGTCGTTTCGTGTAAGCAATAAATAACTAGGCGCATTGTCGGTTACAGTTGAGCATGGTCTTCGTCGGTGAACATTAGCTAGTGAATATGGAACGTGAGTAGTTATGTCATTTTCAAAACGTTTTACATCTTTGGGGTGCCAATTTACCGTCGAAGTCAGCTTATTGTTGACAAAAGCTCACTTGTTTTGAAAAGAGTTTTTCACAATGGCTCTCCTTATAACGATTTCTGGCACAAAACAGCATATATGTAGGTACATGTAAAATAATTTACCAACACCCCAAACATAGCGTAATCAAAAGGCTCAGACATTCAACAACGATAGATATACGAGACTGGCTCACTGTCAGCTTGATAAAAAACCGTTGAAAAAAATGTTGGCCGATATTTACAAAGAACTGGCATTACTTGCACCTAATGAAACAGACATGTGATATGACAGCGTAGTTCGACAACGACTCGCTCGAAATAAAACCTGAAAAAGTCTTCATATTCGTCCGTCGATTGTCCATTGTCAAAGTCATAACAACAAGACAGCTATTCTCCTAACAACCTCTCCCGCATCATTCTGTGCTCCACGAGTCCTCGAAATCTCTGTTGAGTTGTTCCATCCAGACCGAGTGGTCCACCTCCCACTGGTCCGTGTCCAGGCCACGGCCGGACGAGACCGTTGAAATGTAGGCCGCACCAGCCAGAAGGCCAGTGCCGATCACGAAAATCCCGACCAGGATGAGCAGAGGTCCAGCTGTGGGAAATAGAGAAAAATGCGTGAATCTGGGGTATTTTCCTATCGATTATTGCGTGTTTAAAGAGAAAAGGAGAATGATGATTTTTGGACCGTATTGACTCAAAACCATTGAATTAGTAAAAAAAAAATGCAATGTTCTGATGGCTCAGACTTTATTTTTACAAGTTTTCTGAACGCATATTTTGTAACAAAAGTTTTTGTTCAAAAGTATTTTATTATTCTACCAGCTCTACATGTGCGTTAGGTTGGAGGCTCATACATAAAATCATTTTCTTACCCAGTCCTCCACCAAGAACATCAAATTGACGTCTGTTGCCTCCCAGGAGACTGTCCAGGATGCTGCAAAAAATAGACATCATTTTGTGACGCTTCCAGTGCCGTAAAATGATATCCTGCTTTTTAAAAGCAGCAGATTTAGTAAATAATGACTCGAATACGTGCCCATTTCTACCGCATTTCAAAATGATCCTTCATTTTATTTGAGCAATATCACCTGTAATTGACTGTTTGAATAGTAACTTAGCAGGTTATGTTTGAAGTTCAAGGCAGCATACACAAATATTTCAGCAGCTTTTAGATGAGCGTAAAAAATATGTGCATGCTTCATGAGATCGCTGACCATCCTATATATGCGCGTTATTGCATAGTATGCGCGCAGCGCGTGCCTTTGGTAACCACAACTATTATCTTTAACATCCTCCCTTATGACAACGAATCGCCAAACGGCAGCATAAGACTCGGCTACAGTTTGCAAGGGACAAGGGTGCACAAAATAAGGACTTGTTGACCTACCTGCCACCAGAGCTGGTCGGACCGGAGGGGTAGTAGTTGCTATAACTGCTCGTGTGCTGGGGCTGGTAATACTGAGGCGCAGACGCACTGTAAAACTCCTCGTCTGATCTGGCAACTGCTGCCAGACCGACCACCAGAAGAGCAGAGAGAAGGCGCGACATTTTCCTGTGGAAAATAGGTAGGGATTAGTGATGTCAATTACGGAAAATCGGAATACCGATACCAAACCAAATACCAACCAAAACCACGGGAAAATACCGAAACCAAACCAACTTGGGAAACTGAGGGAAATACCAACTTTTTACCGATTTCTTAGCCTCTTATACATTGCTGAGGGCTTATGATACCAACAAAATACCAAACACATTACGATTAAAATACCAAATACCAAGTTGGTATCGGTTTGGTATCGGTATACCAAAAAGTTGGTATCCGATTAACCCGCGCCCAGCTGGGGGTCCTGGATTTCCACGCCCTGCTGGGGGGGGGGGGGTGTTTGAACACCCCCCCCCCCTTCTAACTCGGCTCCTGGGCCACGTAGCGATACGCGGAAGGCGGCGTTCGAAAGAGCGTCAAAAATAATGAGGAAATCACTTCGGTCAATTTTTTGGTCAGGTCAAAGGTCAGGTCACCAGAGGTCATTGAAGGCAAAATTTCGCCGATTTCCAGGTCGAATGTCGACAATTTCCAAGAACCCAACGCATAACTCGGGAACCAATAGAGCTACAGCGCCGCGGGAAAGCGCATTCGATAGCCCTATTAACGCCCTTTCTGAGTAATTCTCTCAGATTTGACCTAACGTCAACGGTTTTGCCTGCAGGGGGCAAAAACTGCAAAAATAGCCGATTTTTTCGGAAACAGTTTTTCTGCAATAACTTTTGACCCAAGCATTGTACGAGCTTACTTTTACCGGCATCGTGTTCCTCTCGTCAAGACGCATCGAATGAACTATAACTTGACCTTAAAAGGTCAACTTGAAAATTTGACCTCAGGTCAAGGTCATGACCTGACCGGAAATGGTCATGTTGCATATCAGTCGATCCGTATCGTCGAGCTGAACACATCTAAGGCGTTTTCATCGCTCTAGCATGCCTCTATCAAAAGTTATTTGCGAAAAACTGTTAGATACCATTCGTGACCTAAGATGACCTCAGGGCATAAACAGGGGTCACGGACACCATTTCCATGTTCAGTGTGTCTAAAACACTTGTAATTCAGTGTTTGGGAGTGTTTATAATGTCTTTCGTCCAAAAGAGGCGCATTTCAATTTTCTCCCATTGACTTATAATGGGGAGGTCGCAAAATTGACCTGACCTTAGGTCATCGATATCAAAATTCTGAGATATACATTTTGTACATGCTATTGCTCTTAGCAATCACTGAAAGTTTCAAAGCGATCGGTCACTTGGTGTAGCTATGACAGACATTGAAACTTTTTATGAGGTGAGGTCACTTCAAGTGACCTGGTGACCTGACCTTGAATGACCTTGGTCTGAAATTTTCACAACATGTGTAGAATTCATGTATGATAAGGTGTACCAAAAACGGCGGCGCTCCGCGCCGCCGTTTTTGAGATATTCGCGAAAAACCACAGGGGGGGGGGGGTGTTCAAACACCCCCCCCCCCAGCAGGGCGCGGGTTAATATCTCTAGTAGGGATCGTGTCACCGCTTCACCTGAAACGTGCTTTACACTCGAGGAATCCTAGCAATTCGGCTTCGTAACCTCCGATGCATTTATATATGCTGGTCAATAACTGTCCATCAGCGACAACACTTTTAAATCAATAAACGGTAATTCAAGCTGATAAAAGTGACATCGGCTGATTAAGAAGTTTGTCAGAGCTTTTGTCTAGCCTTCGTCGTAATATACCTAATACCTATAAGCTCCATGCACCAGTCATGCCCCTAACTCTTATTTACTACCACTCAAGTCGAGGTGACGACCATTCCGCACGGTTTCGCTTGATATATTTTATTTTAGAGTCAAAATTGTCAGGCCAATTACAACCTGAAAACAGCCGGAGGATGACCCCGGAAGGAGAATAATTTATGTGAGCCAATCAGACTCATAAAAATTACAGCGAGAATAAGGCATCCCACAAGTACAAATGACAGCTATCACAAATTAGCACATTTTCGCCCATCATTTGATCCGGATCAATCAAGCCAGAAGACAATTCAACCAACGGGTATCTCCATTGACAGCCTTTGCTAAACTTGCCTAGTCATCGTTCTTCTATGATCCACACCGGAAGGGAAATGTCAGCTGTCATGAGACGGACAACACCCAGAACGGTAACGCCTGTGTTTGTCTTGTCTGCCATTTCCAGTGTCCCCCGTACCGCCTTGTGACTGCTTACAAGAGGGCGGGGGACAAGCGACCTTAATAGCCTCTACTTGGGGAGAAACTGTGTCACATTGACCGGCAAAGGATCTCACAGCTCGGTGGTTACACCGAATGGCATCGTACCATTATTATGGCATGGTATTAGACCATCGTATTGGTCCAAAGCGATGATGAGAACTCCGTAACAGACAGGGTGGGCATATTGTTACATTTTTGTAGTGCGTAGCAAAATATTTGAGTCCTTTGGGCCAAATAAATAACGGAGCATGTTTTCAACTTTTAGCATGCGAGTGCGACTATCAATTTCATATCCACACAGTTCATGAGTGAAACAGGGCGATTGTTAGCATAAGTCCATTAGCGCTAATGATAGACATAATAAAACTTCCAAACAGCTGGTGATATGCCAAATCACATTTCGAGGCTTGCTACGCTCTAATTATCGCAAAAATATGGTAAAATTCCCAGCAAAAAAAAAACTGGTGGTAGCATCATAAGTTTTAAATCATTCAATGGCCACAATTTTCTTGTTGAGGCTATGTGGAAAATAGACTGGATAGAACTATAACAATTTTCTGTCGGTTATCTGCCTCAACACAAAAACAAAACGCCAGAATCTACCCGTTGCGTGTTTATCACAGCTTGTTTAGCGGAGCAACCTTGAGTAAAACGTTCATTGAAGCTGCGAGTTTCGATGAATTCGCAATGTCATCGCAAAACTGCCTGTCATTATACGTAACCGGCTGACACCGAAAAATCAGCCATCGGTTAGCGAATAGACACACGCCTCATGGACTTTTCCTGCTACCGGAAATAGCGTTGACCTTGCTTGGTCATTTTCAAATGGTCGGTGTTTCGCGAATATTTTAGTAGATATTTTTCCTAACTAAAAATTAACGAATAAAAACATTTAATGTACAATTTAATATCCCGCATTGTTTGCACTAGCAAAATAGCTGTAAAAGAAAGGTAGAAGCTCTTTACTTAAAAATGTTTAAATTTTTGCCTTGTAATTTTAATGTGAAGCTCATTTGTACATTATTTGCTATGAGATTTTCGGATCGTAATTTTGAACAGATGATGGATGAAGATACTGAACTTTACGGCCGGTTTAATCTGAGATGAGGAAGTCAGAAACAAACTTGAGCTATTTAGTTTAGATGCAAAGAAGTCCGATCCATCGAGCAGCTAAATAACAATTTCAAAATGAGAATTTACGCAATAAAAAAGCTTTGAAATGAGAAAAAAAATTGCATCGTGTCGCACTAATCATACTTTTGCTCGATTGCCACTCCAAAACGTTTTCAACAATGTTTCCACGAGAAGAAAAATCACCAATTGCTTCCGAATCGAAACGCAATCAGCTCACACAGCTGCCACGGCACTGATGCTTTACGCCAAAGCACAACATCGGGACCTCGAAAACACTGCTTTTGGTCTCCTCACTGCCTCGAATCCAAGCTTGCATCCTCTCACCACTCCACAAAAGATTCTTCACTGTCCTCCCACCAACTCCGCTGTGCTTACCTGAACGGCAGAGCACCTCTCCAAGAGATAAACACAAACACACCCGGCAGCGCACTGCATTTCCCGCCGGGCGCCACACTTATATATTGCATGTCTCGGCATCGCTACCTCCTCTGTCGGCTCGACTTTGTCCATGCGCTTCCGTGCACCGACCCAAGCCACAGTCGCACGTCTATGCGTGAGGCTAATGTGTCGCTAGCTGTGGAAACGAGGCGAGGGAGTGAAAGAGAAGCACCTGACGCCACTGGCGGGGCCATGTTTTTGGTCATACAGTATGCAACAGATGGTAAACAGTCGGTGGTTGACGCACTGGCTTTCGATAGTGGCAAGAATTGGTGGTGAGGCATGAAAGGTTTATGAGTGGTGTTTTTGCTAGGTTTAGAGGTATTTTGGTATTTTGACCTACGTCAAGGGACGCAACATGACCTTTGACCTTCTTTAAAATATCGGAAACAGCAGAAAAGCGGTTCTCATTGGTTCACATTGATATACGATTCCGAATATGTGACTTGAGGAAATCAAAATAGGACGGAACTAAGAGAGAAATAGGCCTTACAAACTATACAGATTTTAGGTCTTTTTTAAAAGCAGAGACAGTTTAGTCGTTCCCTGCGGCAGAGGTGTGTTGGCCCCCCCCCCCCCGCCCCCTGACGTTTATTTGCGGTGGCTTAGAGTGCATTACAGAGAGCTGAATATATGCTAACGTGATCTTTGATTCAAGCCATGGGAAGCAGGGACTGCTTCTATTGCATTTTCAGGTAAGATCAGTTCATTGACCTATCACATTCTACATGGACCTCTGTATGATTCAGAAATGTCGCAGTTTCGTAATGCCCTCATCTCAGTGCTGGCAAACGTCTGGCATGTTGAATGAAGCTTTCAGGGAGTAATGAGCTTCTGGGAAGGTACTAATGAGCTCAAAATACACTGCCAAATTGAATGACATACTATACGACATTTCCCTTCCTCGGCCAGCCTCATAACTGGGGCAGCTTTCACCTGACCTTGACTTGAGGTCAACGTCCAAGTCGGCCCTGCTCAATCAGAAGTATCTGAATCGACTTGAGTATGCACAATAAATACCATGAACATAAAAAACACATATTTTTGGACATTTTTTGCGGGGGGAGTCTATCACAAAACCAGATCCATTCCTTGGATCACTTGACATTACCTCAGAGGTCACCGGTTGAGCTGAGACCCTGCGAATTGGGCACCAGTTGCGGCGATTCGTAGCGTATTTTTTTCAAAAGGTTCTTGCTCAATTAGGACAAAACGGCAATAGGATCACCCTCCCCGATCGATTAACCCTCGCCCGCACATGGGGGGGGGGGTGGTTGCCACCCCCCCCCCAGGCAGTCTTTCTACTCTGCACTCCACATTTTTAGAGCTAGAAGGCTGATTTTTCGTATAGCTGCTCGTCTATCCTTTCTTGATGTCCACTGAAAATTTCAAGTTTCTGTGATTTTTGGTTTCGGAGATATGACCTTGTTTTTCAGGTCATGTCATGACCCAAATGGCCAATTCTCAACATCTTGCGTTTGCCATGGGCCTTGTGAGCTTTTGACACCCTGATTTCGGCCTTTTTTGTCAGTCTTACCTCCCACCTATCATGGAACATGTTGTTCGACGATGTACAGGGGTCAAGGTCAGGGTCAAGGTCAACCTAGGTCATCTAAGATAACCTTCGCCCTAGTGGGGGGGGGGCATATGTTACCACCCTGTCGCGTTTTTTGCGTGTGACTAAAAAACCGCGGCGCGTAGCGCCGCGCCGCTTGGGGTAGCTTTTGGTACATCAATTTTGGACAATGTGTGAAATTTTTGACCCCAGGTCATGTCAGGTCAGGTCACCAGGTCTAGTTAACTGACTAAGCCTAAAAAAAGTTTGCAATCATGTCCAGCCTGCAGTGTTTGTCAGAAAGGTTTTAAACTTGGTGGAATGCATGCTGTTATGGGCGCCTACAATTTGTATATCTCGGATTTTTTATATCCGTGACCTAAGGTCAGGTCAGTGGCGTGACCTTTCCATTACAAGTCAATGGAGAAAATGAAAATGCCTCTAGATCCGTGTGTACGCATCGGAACAGTCCAAATATTTCAGAATCACAATGATTTAGTCCACTCGTGATGACCAAGGTGTCATTTTTGCTGATAGCCTCTAGACAGGTCATCCGAGGTCACTTGAGGCTACAAACAGTTTTTTGCCAATAACTCGCGATTGGAAAGAGATAGAACGCTGGGGATGGTCTCATTGTGTTTGTCTTGTTGAGACGCATCGACTGATATGCAACATGACCTTTTCCGGTCAGGTCATGACCTTGACCTGAGGTCAAATTTTCAAGTTGACCTGTCAAGGTCATATTATAGTTCATTCGACGCGTCTCGGCGAGGGGAACACGATTCTGGCCATAGAAATGTCGTGGCGTTTTGTAGTCGAAAGTTATTGTCGAAAAACACTTTCCTTAAAAACAGCTATTTTTGGAGTTTTTGCCCTCTGGAGGCTAAACCGTTGACCTGAGGTCAATATTGATAATGACCTTTTCAAAAGAAGAGTTCAAAAGCTATCGTTTTCTCTTCCATGCATTTTTCTAGCCACCATAGTTCCTGAGATAGCGGCATGTTTTCTGAAAAATATAATGGCAATTGGCAAATTTTGACCTTTGATGACCTCTGGTGACCCCAATATTGCTCTAAGGTGAAAAATGACCGAATACTTTCAAACGTACGCATTGAGAGCTATCGACTGCTTTTTACCGCGTCTTTCTAGCCCTCTTAGTTTTTGAGTTAGAGGCGGGTGGTAACATATGCCCCCCCTCACTAGGGCGAAGTTGGCTGAGACCGCCACTGGGGCGCGGGATAATTGCGTTTTAGGCAAGCTGAATTTACTTTTTGTGAAGTTTTTTGACTGCATTTTTGGTAAAAGCTTCTCAGATCATGATTTCATGTGATATGGACCCAAAAACAATCGGTGCACACATCAGTATACACACAGACACACACAGACATACAAACACATATAATTGACCTTGACCTAACTTGACCTGAAATGACCTCAGCAGCAAAATTCTGGTCGGATAGTGTGACAAAGAGGTTCTAGCTGGCTTGGCACCAGAAAACAGCATCGTCATCGGTATTTGATAAGCAGCGCACTTGATATCCAACGGTGACCCAAAACAGCAACATTTTTTAGTTTGACCTGACCTGGAAGGTCAATGACTGACCTGAGAAGGTAAAACTGGGTATCATTGGATTCGTCTCTTCCCAAAGAATCTTTTTGGTCTTTACTGCTAAGCTCTATCTCCAACAGGAACGAAATGGCGCGGGGGGGTGGCAACCACCCCCCCCCCCATGTGCGTTCTAGGATGGGAAAATGGCATGTGCGGGCGAGGGTTAAGAAAGACTTAAGTTCAGTCAAAATATAACGTCACCCTTCAAATTGAAATATCTTAGAATCAAAAGTGATTTTCCTCCATCACTACCATCTTCCGTCAAACCTTCTCTTTCAGCAATGTCTGCCGTCTGCATTCCTGTTTAACAAACAGTAGTCATCTCTCAAAGTGGACCCCCGCGGCGCCATTCAGCGTTTGTTTGCTGATAAAGAACCCAGGCACAGTGGGCTGGCTCCGTGGTTTTTATCTCACGAGGACATGACGCGGCGACTTGGTGGCACTTCCCTGCGGAGATGGGATGGGAAAGGAGACCGCGGGCGCGAACAAAAAGAGACCGCAGCATCCGGGCGGCACGGGGCCACCGTGCCAAAGCAGGCGGGAGGGGGACGGGGACGGGGACGGTGACTCCGGCAGGGAGGGGGAGAGGGAAAGCCTGCTTATATGTGGATATGTAAAGCAATTAATTACTTAACCCTATTAGTTAGTGGCAGGGGGGGGGGGGTTGTTTTCATCCACCCCTCAGGTTTTTCGGGAATATCTCCGAAACCGCTGAAGCTACGATGCTGAAATTTTCTGACTTTTCCTAAAACTAAATTGGGCACATTCCCTGAAAATTTCAAGTTCATAACTTTACCAGGGGCGACTCCAGAGCACTGGGAATTGGGGGGTCCTATTCGTGAAGCGAGTCATTTGGGCGAAGATCACGATGCTGATGTATTATAACTGTATGCACCAGTTTTACGAACAGTGAATGAAAGGTATCATGTGATAACATATACAAAGTTATTGCGCATCCTCTTTTGACACGTTTTTGCTATAATAGGCGGATCCAGGCGTCCAAAAAGGGGGTTATGTTTTACCTCCCAACAAAGGTGCCCTGACACCGCCTAGGCATGACCAATACAATTGTAGTCGTTCTCTCATAAGAAAATTGTAACATAACAAGACCATTACCACCCTTTTTAGAAACAGTACCAACAAAAACCTTATTTACTATACTTTTTGTGTACCCCCAATCTCAATGATCTGTATCCGCCTATGATTTTTGAAAATGCATATTTTTAGGATCCATGTGAATTCCTGGTTCATTCTCTATCGATCGGCAAAAGTTGCGTTAAGATTGGTTCAGAAACCTGGCCGTGATAAACAGTCTAAAATGTATCTGCAATTTGCCCGTTTTTACCCCCCTCTACCCCCTATTGACATTTTCTTAATTTTTTGTTTTTTAGAAATGTAGATCACGTTGAGCGAAATCGAATGCGGTTTGAATTTTGAAAATCGGCCCGTTAGATCTCGAGATATCAAGGGGGGTCGTAAACAGCCCCCCCCCCCCTGCCACTAATAGGGGTAGCCAGGAGCCTGCCACTAATAGGGTTAACGCTCCGAAGTTATTGCGGCATCACATTTGAAATGCCGACGCATGTAATAATGTTTCATGTAGAAAACAGTTCGAGTTATATTGATAAAAGATTGAGTATAAACCTCGACGAACTTTATGGGAACAATCGATTGTAGACGTTCCGGTTGCAACGCCAAAATATTTAATGAAGCAAAAATGAATAAACGAATATGCTGGTAAATTTTAGGAAAATAAATAAGAAATAGTTAGATACGCATGCAAAGACAACAAACGTCAATAAAAAGGGTGCCTATATTACACAACTTGCAAGTCATCAACGATACGGGGCAGTATCCTGGACCAAGTTCCCGGAACCTGCCTACCACCCGACCCATATCACGACTACAAAAACACCCCGCATCCTGCCGGAGGTGCGGCCTACATTTTTTTTCGCCGCGAGCCTCGCTAATG